ATACATGATAGATTAGATTAGATAGATAGATGATAGATTAGATAGATGATAGATAGATAGATAGATAGATAGATATTTATAGATGATAAATTAGATGATAGATAGATGATAGATAGAAGAGCATCATTCATCCTATCAGCTGCCTTTTGAGGAGCCTATCACACAGAAATCAAAGCATCAAGCATATGAACATATGGAACTAGATTTTATTGAACCATCATCTTAATGACCATACTTTAGCAATGTCCTTGATATCAATAATTTACAAATTGATGAAGAGTCTCTTGTATCACATGTTCTAAAAGCTCAAATATTTCTCAAAAGCAAAAGCTAAAATATTAAGAGAGAGAGTACCTTATATGTTATCAAATATGGGGAATTCAGGCATTTCTATTAATAAGAAATTAATTTGTTTCCCTTGTGTGCTAAATTCATATAGAGTTTCTTTGAATTCTTTTCAAATATCACAGGGCTTCTCAGCAACTCAGATGGTATGCAAAACCACTTTTCTTTGCCACAATTTCATCACAGCTCTTTTCATTTCACTGTTTCTCAAGCTGTAGATAAGTGGATTCAGCAGAGGGGTCAGCAGTGAGTAAGCCAATGACATCAGCTTCTTGGTCTCAGGTGAATACCTGGATTTGGGCTGTAAATAAGTCATACTGGCTGTGCCACAGAAGAGGGTGACAGATGTGAGGCGAGAGGCACATGTGGAAAAGGCCTTCTGTCTCCCGGTGGTGGATGACATCTTCAGGATGGCAAAGAGGATGCGAATGTAAGACAGGAGGATCAACAGGAAGGGAACCATGACAATCAGAATGGTGCCTGCGAAGGCGTAGATTTCAAAGAAGAAAAGGTCTGCACAGGCAAGCTCCAGCACTGCACTGCTGGGGTTTCACAAGAGATATGATTAATTTCATTAGGACCACAAAAAGGGAAGCTAAACACGCATGTGGTTTGCAGGGTAGCCACCATGATCCCCAATACCCATGATGACATCACTAATTTCATAAAAACCCTTTTGTTCATAATCACTTGGTAGGACAGAGGATGACAGATTGCTGTGAATCGGTCATAAGCCATCGCCCCCAGGAGAAAGCACTCCGTCCCACCAAAGAGAAGAATGAAATACATCTGTGCAAAACAGCCCCCAAAGGAAATGGTGGTTTTCTCAGTGGTCAGGACCACTAACATTTCAGGCATGATGGCTGTGCTGAAGCTCCCTTCTACCACAGACAAGTTCTGCAGGAACCGGTACATGGGGATGTGAAGGCTCTGGTCCAGGAAGATGACAGCAATAATGATGGCATTTCCAATCAGGGTCACCAGATAAATAACCAAGAAAGCCCTAAACATGTGTGCTTGGAGTTCCAGAAAGTGAGAAAAGCCCAAGAGGATGAACTCGACCACAGAGCTGTCATTCTGCCTCCTCGTTACTGTAGTGGAGTCCTGTGTCATTCTTAGAGACAGACTATATAAGAATGACATCACAGTCCCATTGCTCCAGCCTGCATTGACCCCAGAGCAAAACATGAAATGAGACCAAGATCACAATTATCAACTTGGAGAATGGCCACCTACTTGCATTAATGAATATTTGAAATATAAATGGAGGAATGGAGGATTCCGGCTAAGAAATCTGGCCTAAAACATAAAATATTACGCATTTTCTATTGTAAGTTGTATACTATGTTGTTTGTTGACTCAATAGGCCTTAACATAAATGACAGAATGCATGAAAACCAGAGGGTGGGGGGCTAGGAGAGGGTGTCAGTGGGGAAGGGGCTATAAAGAGGACTAAGGCTGTGCTCTGCCAGCCTCGGACCCAGGCCCATTCTAATTTTTCTGCATCAGATCCCTGGACTAGCTTCCTAACCCAGACTAGCTAAACCCCTAGCATATATTGTTAAGTCCTTCCTCAGGTGTTCCCTACCCCCATCTTCCACTGGCTCCTGCTCTGCCTAACAGACTGGCCCACCTAGGACTCTGATAAGCCAGATCCTGCCCACTGCATCTCTATTCCATTCCTTTGCAGCCTCAATACTTCCAACCTACTCCACCCTTACCCTGTAGCCTTGGACTCAGGCCCATTCTAATTCCTCTGCCTGAGATCACTGGAGTAGCTTCCTAACCCAGACTAGCTAAACCCTCTAGCATAGATTTCACTGGCTCCTGATCTGTCTGACACAGCCCAGCCCTCCTACTACCCTGACCTACCTACTACCCTGTCCCACCAACTACCCAGAACTACCATGCAAGAACCTGAAGCACACACCAATTTATTTTTCATACCTGAGCAAAAAACAACCAAGTTACATAAACAATATAAACAGAACCAAAATTCAGTTACAGAAAAGCAGAATAGACGTTCTTGCCGGACATACAACCAACAAAGAACATCCATATGCCCAAATGATATTGCAAAAACACAATATGAAAAACCAAGAGACTATGTCTCCAATGAAACCCACTAGTCTTACAGAAGTGCACTACAATGAGAACCACCCTGAGGAACTCCAGGACGCAGAATGTAAAAGAACAATCATAAACACAATCAAAGAACCTAAAGCACAAACAACTCAAAGAACTCAAAGTGCCCTTAGCCACTGAACCATCGCTCCAGCCCAATACTTATATGTTAGATGTTAAAAAATCTCCAAAAGGTAGCTTAAATAGACCCTACAGTACCAAATATTCGGATTAATTCTTAATGGCCAATAAAAGAAAATGTGTATTCCATTCTTAATATATGACAGTAGACAGTGAAATTACAAAACATATAGTATCCTTCAAAATAGGATCTATAGGACCTATTAAAAGAAGTGATAGAATAAAACTATCTTTACCAGCACATTGGGACATTGGGATGGCTATGGCTCACAACAAAACAGCTATAGAAGAAAAGGTCCCCAACACAAAGAAATGATAAATGTCTGAAGGGCTAGAAATACCAGTTACCTTGATCTGACCATTGTCAATTGCATACAGAAACTGAGCTGTGGTGCTACAGTGCATGTACATATTTCGAATTGCTGTGTGTCAGACCAGGCTCCGATGGATGAACCCACACTGAAGGGCAACCAGGGACACAAATCTGGCTCTATAGACCGTAATATATATTATATTAATATAATTATATATAGTTATATATATTATAGTACAGAAATTTGAAGGGAAGGTGGTAAGGGGGAGCAGGTGGGGAGTGGATTCAAGTATGATCAAAATATATTATATGAAATTTGTAATAACTCAATTGAAAAAATGAAAAAAGGAGAGACAATCTATATTAAAACCTAAACAGAGATTTAAAAACTATCATGAGTGATAAACAACAGTTGAACAATTGCTCCATGTCTTAAATAATTCAGACAAGTGGTACTACAGTGAACACTCCAGTCCTCAGGTTTCATCCTGCCAAATGAAAAGGGTAAGCATAGGACTCGTTGACCAAGTGCCCTACTCAAGACATTCCAGGATATGACTAATGTACACAGAGTGTTGATTCCTGAAATTATGCCTACTCTTCTCTCTGAAAAGAAACAAGATGAAATTACCAAACATAAACCTAAAACATCAAAAGATTGACCAGTGCCTAAAGACCCCTGAGCACCAAGTATCTCTTGCAGATTTCCAGCCACCATGAGGAGAACTGCAGAAAGGAAAAACCCCACTAACATGCACAGCACAAGCAGAGGCTGCACATTCTTACCTAATGGCTCTGTCTCTATCTTTTCCATACTACCTTAATCAGCAGTTTTGACACTGCCCAGAAGTCACCTGTTCATCAATATTATTTAGTACATTGATTTATAACATTACATGAGCAAGCACATAGATTCATGTGCATGAGAGATTCCCATCCTACAGAACTTGCAGTCACTGCACACAGACATTCACATATGCTGTGATAACTAAACAGCCTTGAACTTGGCCCCTTAAGTGAGAAAGCTCAAGAGAACAGGCAGGGAGCATGACGCCTTCACATGTCCACTGGGGAATAAACACCTTCTACACAAGAGACTTCACCGTAACATCTCCCAATAGGAGTTAAAACACAGACTGGGGTAATGTTGCAAACAGGGAAGAAAGGAGGCAGGGGATGAGAGTGTGACCTCCAGGGAGAGGACTTGATTGGACTGAATGCACAGTTTGTACAGTGGCGAGAAGCAGGTTTCAGGACAGCAGATCCAAGCATATGTGTAGAGAAAGGCTGGATGTATCTACCCCCAAGAACTGTTACCTTTTCCAAAATTAAAATGAAGACATTAAAATTTTTGAGAAAATACCATTACAGTTGATCTCAAGTATAAACATGCTTGACTTGGAGCCAGAACACCAAATGGGCCTGCTTGACTTCGAGCACCTTCCTGAACTTCTCTGCTTCTGCTACTTTCTCTATAGGCGTACTGTCATTAATCTCGTGAATTAGGGATTCAAGAGTCGGTCTACACGGCCAGAGGCCAGGAGAGCTCAGAGTTGCCTGAACCTGCTGATTTGGCCTTCTCCACAATGCAGATGATCAGCCTCACCAAAGTTCTTTTCTATTTCTCATCTCTGATTTCTAGCTGTAAGTTCCTTCTCAGAAGCTGTCTTCTCCAAAGCAGTAAGTGTGGATGACACTTAGCGATATAGTCTGTCTAATCTGTATCCAGCCAGAAATGTACTGCATATCCCTAAGAAGAGGTTTTCATTAGTAGACTCCAATCCAAGTACCCCACCTAAACCACTCTGAAGAGGCTCCTCTGGCCCCACCCCCCAGCCATCGCTCTCATGGTGACATTATCTCTCTTTCTCCCCCCCTTCCTCTCTTCTTATCGCTCTAATTCTTACTCTTAATGAAGCTCATCTCGGGTTTTAAAGGGAAGCCTCTCCTTCCTTTTAAGGCCCCATCATGTTTATATCTCAATATATTGTGCTGTTTCTGTCTAAGGCTTTTCCTCCCACCTTGGGGCCTGATCATGGCCTTGAGGCCCATTCATTCTAATAAAACACATTCCTAAAGGGAATTATGTGTCAGTTTCGTTTCTAGATCCACTGCTGTTGTTCTTCATGTTTAACAGTTACAAGAGTTTTTAGTGTCAGAGCCTAGACTTTGACAGCCCTGAGAAGCCAGACTCATCTGCCCACTTTCAATAGACCAATTAAATAGGAAAAGTGCTCTACCCAGCTTAGCTGGTCTGAACCCACCCTCTCAGTCAATATTGGTCAATATCCTCCTGCTTTGTAAGACTGAAAAGCAGAGAAAAGAGAGTCATTCAACACAGCCACAGGAGAAAAAGGAACAAAGTGGCCAAGTGATGCCTTGAGTCCATCTTTGGGGTTTTGACATGAAGTTTAGATGTAGAGGGCAAGAGGTGTATATCATTAGGCAGTCCCAGGCAAGCCATGGCCACATCCATCATCACCGTCTGGGCTCCAGTCTCTCCTGCAAGGTGATCTGACAAGCTGTCAGAAGTATATGAAATCTCTTTCTGTAAGACAATCGCCTCCTCTGGGCTGGCACTTGATTTTTTCTTTCTCCCTGCATGAGCATCTTAAGGACATTCCCATTTCTTGGAGTCCATTGTTACAATAGTCTGATAGCCAAATGAAGGACACAAGTGTCTTAAGAATATCTTAGTTCCTGACAGGATAGTTACAGACTTCATAGAGTGTAAAACAGTGGCTTTTCAGGTTATGCCTTTCATTCATTGACTCCATTTTATAAGCAGCATTTGGCTCCATTTTGAGGGCAAGCAGGCCCCTCTCAGCCCACCTAGATGTGATGATGCACCCCAAGTTGAAACTGGAAGACAGAGAGGCAAAAAAGCTCATAGAGAAAAGTTGTAGATTGTGAAGCTAAATAAAGTCATGTCCCTCACCTATTAATTATTAGTATTATTAATTCAAGCTCAAAATACCATTGATATATTGATAAACTAAGATGTGGAGAGGACACCTCATTCAAACCTCTGCCTCCAAAGGTTCCAGGATCATTGGGGAAGAGGAGGTGTAAAGATTGTAAGAGCCAGAGCTGTGGTGGACAACCACAAGGAAATCGCCTTCCAGATAGCTGGTCGGTTACTAATATGAATGCGCAGCAATGGTGACAGCATGCACAAGTCCTATGCAAGCTCAAAACAGACAAAATGCTTCTAACTGCTGCTAGCAGTGCTTAATACAAAGATTCATAACTGATTAATGTGCCAACAATAAGTGATGGTGGAATGCTCGGGCCTAAATGGGATATCTGTATCAATCCCTCCAAGGCTCAAAGAACATTGTGGAAGAGAGGAAAAATGTAAGCACACTCTTCACTCTGTTGCTAGAAGGCTGTCTTACTGCTGCCAGTTCCTCACAACTGCCGGTCTCCTTCCAGACCTCTCTATTTCTGAGGAATATTCTGACCAGAGTCTGGCTCTGGCTCTAGCTCTGGCTCATACTTCAGACCTAGCTCCAGATCTGGCTCTGGCTTGATATCTGGAAGTAGCTCTGCAAGTAGGTTCCTA